TTTTTAATAAAAATAAAATAAATATATAGATAAAACAAAAAATAAATACATTTTCTGACACAGATTTTCTATGAATGCATTTTTGAATGCATTATGCATTATGAATGCATCACACTTAAATCCATACGGAGAGCTAGGGCTGCACAATTAATCGAGTTCCTAATCGCGATTACAATTATGGATGCCACAATTACGTAATCATTCAAACCGGCAATTAAGCACACTTCTTTCTGCATCACACCTTACGCAGTTCAGACCTGCAACCTTTCAGTCACCAGCCCAGATTTGTAACTACTACACCACAACACCTTTAACTCTGGTCTCTACACATGCAGGGGGTCTCACCGTGCTGACGTCCAGCGGGAGGATGAAGACGATGAGGAAGCACAGGAACCAGGCGAGGAGGGTGGCGAACAGGACCATCCGATGCTGCTTGCGAAAATCTCCATATCGGTGCAGCAGGAAGAGCGCGAGGAAGAACACCACCACCACCTCCAGCGCGAGCGCCACGCCACTCATCCTGACATATAACCCTTCAGACAGGCACGAGACACTCCATCAACACCAGCACTGTTTGGAGAGAGCAACTTCATCAAGATTCGTGATGTACATCTAATATTGACATTAATAACAAGTTCACTGGAGCCAGACTGGCAGGAATGTGTCCATCAATAAATCAAAAAGCGTGAATCTCATAAAGAAATAAATTCCCAGGTTAAATTTTCCCCCAAAATATAAAGAAAATTATATTTTGCATTAAGATGAAGCCTATTTTTAAGACTGCAATTTTTAAAATATATAACTGTAATGAGAATTGGGGGGGGGGGATATAATTTTCTTTTTAGCAAATGAAATGTGATAGATAAAATATATAAAAAATAAATAAAAAAATCTATTAAAAAAACTAGCCATTTTATTATATAAATTATATAATATTTAATAATAATAATATAAGTATCATATATAAACAAATTTATAAAATGATATAAACAATGAGAAATATCACCTAAAGTAGTTTAATCGTTTTAATTAATGTTTATACTAAATTATGAGCTAAACGCCAATATACAAAAATACAGAAAAAGTAAGTATGAGAAACACAAGATAAACTGATGTCAAACTATTTAAATGGCTATCGCTGTAATATCGGTTGATTGAAATTGTGTCTTCAGGTTTGAGTATCGAAAAATACCGCTTGATAAATGTATTTCATGACACGTAATCATTGCGTAATTAATAGTAGAGTCAAAGAGGTTCTGTCACAGCGACCGGAGCACTGTTCCGCTACAATTCATCCGTCAGCGAAACATTATGGAAACAACCGGACAATAACTTACGAGTTCCAGCAGCCACGATGTTTGAAGAACGAGTTTAGGTCCGCTGTGAGAGAACGATCACATTTCGTGGTAAAAATTAAGCAGCCCGTGATATTTGTGTACAGAACCTTTTGACGTGACACGTAACTGAGCAGTGACGCACTTCCTGCTCGCGTGATGTATTATGGGAAATGTAGTTTTCCTCACAGGTTTCCGTAAACCTATTTTATTTTATTTTATTTTATTTTATTTTTATGCTAGTCGACACTTTTTTTGCTGTATTTTTTATATATCATTTTTGTGAAACATTTTGTAGTTTTAGTAAAAAAGCATTTAGTAGGCTAGTTATATATTTATAGGCTATTTCATATTACTGTTTTTTTTTACATTGAATTATTATTATTATTATTATTTATTTTATGAAGTCAAATGTAGTTTTATTAACATGGACACATGTGCTGATTAAAGGTCCGTCTGTGTTTACATTGATTTACGTTTAAAATAATTTTATGAATTAAATTGTAGTATTAGTAACACAGAAACATGTAGTGTTTAAAGGTCTCTGTTTATTTTTAATATGACTGATTTTAGTACGTTTAAAATTGTATTAAAAATAGTCATTAAATTATGAATAATTATTTATAATTTAGTATTTATATTTACATTATTGTTTTTTTTTACATTTAATTAGCCTGCTTTTTAAATAATTTTATGAATTAAATTGTAGTATTAGTAACACAGAAACATGTGGTGTTTAAAGGCCCCAGTTTATTTTTAATATTACTGATTTTATTGAATAAAATTGTATTAAAAATAGTCATTAAATTATAATTATTTATAATTTAGTATTTATATTTCACATTATTGTTTTTACATTTAATTACTTTTTTAATAATGTTATGAAGTAAATTGTAGTTTTAGTAACAGAAATATGTAGCGTTTAAAAAGGTCCCAGTTTATTTAATATTACTGTTTATATTGACTAAAATGGTAGTAAAATAGTAATTAAATTATAAATAATTATTTATAGTTTAGTATTTATATTTCATTTTACTGTTTACATTTATTAATTTATTTTTATTTTTTTACAATTTTGTGAAGTAAATTTGAGCAACACACAAACGTGATGATTAAAGGCCCCTCACTTTATTTGTATTTCATATGACTGTGTTTACAGTGAATACAAGCAGTACAGTGCTACGAAAATTACAAATGTCCTCGTTAACCAAAGAAATTATAATAGAGTTGACAGGTGCAAAGTAGTTAATTTTCTTGACTTGATCTGTGACTTTATATATCAAGAATAATCCAAACTGACAGCAATTTAAGCCTTTCTTTTAATATAAATATTTGTGAATGTTGAGCAGAGTATGATGATAGCAGAGAAGAGTCAGTGAAATCTTCTGGAAAACCATCCTCTGCTGATTTGTAGAATAGACTTGGAGGTCTAGATGTTCAGAAAAGCCCAGGTGGAGAGATCATCTGCCCACAACGAGCCCAGAAACCGAAGGCACACCGCCCGGTCCTCCAGCAAACACTGCACCTGAGTGATCAGATCCAAACTCAGATTCTCCAGTAACCTCAGACACAGCTCCCAGTCCTCCACATAGTCTGTGTTCTCCAGAGAGTCCAGCAGCAGCGAGAGCAGCACGGCAGCAGACTGGAGGCAGTCCTGAGCGCTCATCTTGAGAATGTACAGTATGTTCAGTACGTCCAGCATGCACTGTGTGAAGCGGGAAGCGTTTGTGGCAGGTGTGCGGGTGCTAAAGCCGTCTTAAACCCGTTAACAGCAGACGGGGCAAAGCTCATGGGTACTGGTGGTGTTACGGTGAAGTCATCATCATGTTATTGTTTCACGTGTTTATCTGTTTTGCAGTTTGTTTTCACTTATGAAAAAGTACTGAGGGTGCATTATTATGCATATTTTAGAATAAAGTGAAAAAAGTGGCGTGTGGCCAAGTTTGGTGTCCTGTACTCATCGGAAATACAAGTCTGACTCTCTAACTATTAGGCCAGGACTGCCCTCTATATAATAGTAAAGTCAGAAATAGAAGCATGAGAATTATTTGTTTAATTTTTAGTATTTTTATATGATTTGTCATTTTTCAGTTTTTTTTAATATGACTATTTAGCTTTATTTTTTACTTTAGTTTTTATTTCCAGCTAGTTATTTTATTCCTTCAACTTAAACAGTTAGTTGCCAAGGCAACATTTCTTCTTTTTTATTAATATTTGAATTAGCTTTTATTTTTATATTTTCGGTTTTAATTTGTACTTTAAATTTTTTGTATTTTTGTTATGTGCTTTTGTCAGTTTTTTATTTTTGTATGTATTTATATTTACGCTTAAATAATTTTTATTTCAGTATTAGTTTTAGTTCCGTTTGAGTTTTTATGTATTTCCAGGTTTATGTATTTCCAACTTAAACAGTTAGTTGCCATGGCAACATTTCCCTTTTTGTTTTTATTAATATTTTGAATTAGCTTTTATTTTTATAATTTCATTTTTAATCTTAGCTCAATTTTAATTTTTGTCATGTGCTTTTGTCATTTTTAGTAATTTTGTTTTCGGGTTTTTCATATGAATTGTTTTAAATATTAAAATGTTATTTTTTGTTTTGTTTATTATTATTATTGTTTTTAATTTTTTTTATATTTATTTTATTTATATATAATAGTAAAGTCAGAAATATAATATGGGAATAATGTATTGACCAAAATGTGTCATATTTAATATATATATATATATATATATATATATACACACACACATAACATATTTTAATATATTTAATATATAACAACAATATAACAAAAAAAAAGGGAAAAAAGTAAATACCGGTAATAAGAATATTAAATAATAAACATATTTAAAATACATATGTTAATCATAGATAGATAGATAGATAGATGGATAGATGGATAGATGGACGGATAGATAGATAGATAGATAGATAGATAGATAGATAGATAGATAGATAGATAGATAGAAAGATA